GAGAGAGAGAGAGAGAGAGGAGAGAGAGAGAGAGAGAGAGAGGGAGAGAGAGAGAGAGAGAGAGAGAGAGAGAGAGAGAGAGAGAGAGAGAGAGAGAGAGAGAGAGAGAGAGAGAGAGAGAGAGAGAGAGAGAGAGAGAAAGAAAGAGAGAGAGAAAGAAAGAGACAGAAAGAGAGAAAGAGACAGACAGACAGCTAGATAGACAGATATATATATATATATATATATATATATATATATATATATATATATATATATATAGAGAGAGAGAGAGAGAGAGAGAGAGAGAGAGAGAGAGAGAGAGAGAGAGAGAGAGCAACATATTTCATAAACGAAGGCAATACCTACCAGGCAGAGCGAACGCGGCCGTGAGAGCCAGGCACAGAAGCAGGGCAGTTGTAGTCGACATGATGTCTGTAAAAAGTACATAAATATGATTAGTGATGATTGTGAGAATGATGATGGTGATGATGATGATGATAATAGTGATGAAGAATATGATAATGGTGGTGATGATGATAATGGAGATAACAATGATAGCATTATTAATATTGATGATTATGATGATAATAATAATGAGAATAATGATAATAATGACAACAATAATGAGCAGAATGACAATAATAACAACTATAATAGCAATAACAATGCCTAGAAAATCCACGCGACAAAAAGAAAGAAAATGAATGAAAGAAGAAAAAAAGAAAAAAAGAGGTACTTCTCTTCCTTCCTCTCTTCCTCTTTCTCCTCCTCGCCTCCTCTTCCCCCTTTTCCTTTCCTTCAACATTTTTTCCTTTCCCGCTCTGCCTCTCCTTCCTCCTCCCCCCCCTCCCATTTCAACCCCAACATCTGCCCCTCCCACTTCCTCCCCCCCCTTCCCCCCCTCCATCTCCTTCGCTTCCTTATCCCCTTCCTTCTCTCTTCCATCTTCCTTGTTTTCTCTCTGCGTTCCCTCACCCTTCCCCCACCCCCCTTTCGCCTAGCCCTGCATGTGTTTGTTTGTGTTTGTTGTTAGGGTGTTTGTGTGTAATTGTTTGTTTGTGTGTGTGTGCGTGCGTATGTGTGCGTGTGCGCATCTGTGTGCATGTGTGCGTGAGTGTGTGTGTGTGTGTGTTTCCGTGTGTGTGTGATTCTTTAAATTTATGTTGTTAATATTCACCCCTCTCTACATCAACAAAAAGCAGCTTCAACTCTGCACAGGGAACATATTTTCAGACGTAACGAGATCCTTTTCCATCAATAAAAACCGACTACAATTCCTCAGTCCCAAGGAATACGATATATAACAAGCAAAATAATAACAGAGATGATATTAATAACATACCATCACTATAATAACGAAAACGATAAAAATATAAATAAATAACAATAATTAATACCATCCTAACCACAATAACAATAAAAATAACAATGAACTCCAACATTTAACACAGGCAAATATAAAAGGCCGTATGCCTAACCTAACGCAAGAACTGACATCAATTTCACAGTTAAAACCTTGACATCAATTCTATACTTCAATCCAGTCCCGATCCAGGATGGGACGCACATCACCTTGTCCTTGGAAGTGAAAGTGAACGCAATGGGGATGTTCACGAGTTTGAATAAAGAATGAATGGATACGTTACATAGTGGGTGTCTTTGGGAGCGAGAGTGATTGAGACTGAGAGGGAGGGAGGGAGGGAGGGAGGGAATAGACAGATAGATAGATAGAGAGAAAGAGAGAGGTAGAGAGAGAGAGATAGTTAGATAGATAGACAGATAGATAGATAGAGAGAAAGAGAGAGGTAGAGAGAGAGAGAGAGAGAGAGAGAGAGAGAGAGAGAGAGAGAGAGAGAGAGAGAGAGAGAGAGAGAGAGAGAGAGAGAGGAGAGAGAGAGAGAGAGAGAGAGAGAGAGAGAGAGAGAGAGAGAGAGAGAGACAGACAGATAGACAAACCGATAGAGAAAGATAGACAGACAGATAAAGATAGAGAAAGAGAGAGAGGAGCAGACCCCCAAAGGCAATAAAAGCTGTGTCATTCGTCCCTCGTTTCCCAAGCGGATGTTGTGAGTCGTGACGCTTACAACCTTTTTATAAACCACCATGTCGTGTGCAGGTGCCATTAGTCACGAACAATTCTGAATAACAAAAGGATGCTCTGGAAATCTGTTATAACATGCATTACGTACATTACTTTTTATCGTTCAGCCTGTGATATTGTGAAATGACAAAAAAAAAATCATGCAATATACTCGTCAGGAAAAAAAAAATCTAGATTAATCCCGTTGTTAATTCAATGTATTGCAACATCTTAATCATGAAGAGATAATTATATGAACTTTTAGTTTTTGTATGGACTGGTTTACTACGATTTTTAAAAATAGTTACTCCATCAACTATTTAATTTTTCTTATAAGAAAAAAACCTGCAAATGCATACTTTTTTTACATTAATCTCTTCCTTTTCCCCTTTAATTTGATTATGTTTGTAGTGACTTAATTTGATTATGTTTGTAGTG